ATAACCTATGCCCAACATAGCTATGTCTTGACTTTATTTGGCAGCAAAGAGTTAAGAGTTTGTGTACATTCCCTCACCAATATAGGGAGGATTTTGACTGTGACCGTGTATGTGCCTGCCCTCCCGAAGATTTCTTATCTCCAGTTCCTTGCAAATTCCCATGGATCCTTCAATGGATAAACAAGGGTTTCATCTTTAAATTGAGACAATGATGAGGAAGTCATGTAATCCAAGTGATACAAGTTTGCTTACCTTTTTTCATTAGAGAAGATATCATCGCTTTTCAGGCTCTCAATAAAAGATATGTAATAGCCAGAATCTTCATTCAGTAAGTCTCCAATCATATCTACAGCTCCGCGGCTCAGATTTCCTTCTTTAATTAGATACTCCTGTTTGAGGAGAGAAATCCTTAAATTCGTCTGCAATACATTGTTCAAAAATATCATTTCAGAGCAAGGAGCTTGATTTCAGATTGAAACTGGTGGGCTGCAAATCGGACAAATTCTTCTAATTCTGAGGAGATGTTGAGTTAGAGGTTTAAGCACAAAGCAGAATCATTCTGTTATTGTTCTACTTAATGACCTCCAGGGGAATAATCTGTCTCTTAAATAACTTCCATTTTGTTGAAAGTAATTTACGAATAATCCTCGACTGGCGACCACAATTGAGCCCAAAATTTCTGTTGTTAAGCAAGTCAATTGTTAAATGGGTTTCCCCCCCATATTATGACCTTTCTTGTCACAGTTGTTAAGTGAATCACTGCAGTTGTTAAATGAATCTGGTTTCCCCATTGACTTTGATTGTGAGAAAGTCACAAAAGGTGATTTACATCACTCTGGCACACTGCAACCATCATAAATAGGAGTCAGTTGCCATGTGTCTGAATTTTGATGACATGACCACAGAGATGCTGCGGACATAAGTGTGAAAAACAATCATAAGTCAATTTTTCCACTGCTGTTGTAACTTCAAACAGTCATTAAATAAACTGTTTTAAATTGAGGACCAGAGATGGTATTCAGCAGGTTCTGACCAGTTCTGGAGAACTGGTAGCGGAAATTTTGAATAGTTCGGAGAACCGGTAAATACCACCTCTGACTGGCCCCACCCCCATCTATCTCTGCCTCCCGAGTCCCAGCTGATCGGGAGGGAATGGGGATTTTGCACTAACCTTCCCCTGGAGTGGGGAGGGAATGGAGATTTTACAGTATCTTCTCCCTGCCTTGCCCACTAAGCTACACCCACCAAGCCACACCACGCCCACCAAGCCACGCCCACAGAACCGGTAGTAAAAAAATTTGAATCCCACCACTGTTGAGGACTACCTTTACATTATGTTCAATAAAGGGGATAAAGCTTGAGATGATATAACCAATGCCTGGGGAAATCTCAAGTAGGGTTATAATAGGAAGGTAGTCTATATTTTAAATTTTGTTGTTGTGCCTGCATTTCACTACTTTAACTTTGCATATATACATTTAATTTAATGAAACACTTATAAAAGTGTATATGCCTATTAAGATCTACCCACAAAAAAGAAAGTATTGACAATTCTGACCCAGAATTTGGGAGGACAAAACAGAAGGGGATTGTTCAGTCAGTGAGTCAACATGGTAGCCTGCTGTTTAACCTAATTATATTCCATCTCATTCATTAAATACTGTATAATATGGCCACCCTCTCCATTAGAGCAAATCAGGAGTGAAATGTAAAATTTGTTACTACCGGTTCTGTGGGCGTGGCTTGGTGCGTGTGGGGGGGTTAATGTGACTGGGTGGGCGTGGCCAACTTTTTTTTAAAAAAAACTTTTCAAAGCATTTTTTCTACAATCTCTTCGGCTGAAGAGGTTGCAAAAAATGCTTTGAAAAGCCTCTGCCGATCAGGCAACTCAGCTGGGATTGTCAGAGAGGCTTTTCAAAGCATTTTTTTTACCACCTCTTCGGCCGGAGAGGTTGCAGACAAAAATGCTTTGAAAAGCCTCTGACAACCCCAGCTGAGCCGCGCGATCATCAGAGGCTTTTTTTTTTATTTTTAAAAGCATTTTTTCAGTGGAAGAGGTTGTAGAAAAAATGCTTTTAAAAGTAAAAAAAAAAAAAAGCCTCTGAAGATCGTGCAGCTCAGCTGGGCATGATGGGGAGGTGCAGGGATTTTTGCTACCAGTTCTCCAAACCACCCGCCGCCATCATTACCGGATTGAGCGATCCGGTCTGAACCGGGAGCATTTCACTCCTGGGCCAAATCCTTTACAAACTATAGTCCAAGTGTCTTAGTCCAGACAGACAGTTTAGAGATAAGCCAGCATGAGCAAAGAAAAGTTAAGCATGTAATGTAATTACTATATGTCCTAAGATGAAAATCTGGTACTTCTGTGATGCCCTTAATGACTTTTTTGTTGTGCTTTACTACATTTGTCATCGACTGTGATGCTTTATGGCAAGCATGTTGTAATCAGAATTCAGATTGATTTGGGGAGTCTCAAGTTCTCATTCACCACTTCGAGAACTAAGTTCAAATAGGCCAAACAGGCATTATCTCTGGCTGTGTCTGAGTCAGGCTTGGATACTTTTTAAGAAGGCCATTGTGTGGCTTTAGGGGAGACACAATCACTTGCCATCAATCCTGCATGACAAAGAGGTCCCTCCAACCTGTGTTTTTATTTATTTATTTATTTATTGGTTCGATTTATATACCGTCCTTCTCTGGAGACTCAGGGCGGCTTACAATGCGTTAAGCAATAGCCTTCATACTTTTGCATATACCTGCTTAGTAGGGCTTTCAGCCTCCCCTAAGCGGTGTTCTTTTTTATGCAAAGTCAGCTTATTGCCCCCACAATCTGGGTCCTCATTTTACCTACCTCGGAAGGATGGAAGGCTGAGTCAACCTTGAGCCTGGTGAGATTCGAACTTGCAGTAATTGCAGGCATCTGGCAGCTAAGTGCTACTTAACAGCGCTTTAGTCCACTGCTCCACCAGGCTCCTTCTTTTACTACAGGTGTGTTGCATGTGCAAAATAAGAACCTTATCAAAATACAGGTGGATCTTCAAATGACACCATTGTCATTGACTGCCATCTTGCCCTTTGGATTGCAATCTGTTTTAGTATTTGAAACTCTCAGGCTCAGTAAGTAATTTGTCTCATATTCTAATAATACTGTAAGAAGAACATGATAATACATCTTAAAGATGACTCGCCAGGAGTGGGCTGCTGAGGATTCGCAGGGGTTCGGAAGAACCTCTAGCTAAGATTCTGTGCAGTTTGGAGAACCCCCAAATCCCACCCCTGGCTGGCCCCGCCCTGCCCCCCCCCAGGAATCCCAACGTGGCCTGTTTTGGATGCAGGTAAATGCAGGGTGCGCGCGGAGGCTCGGGGAGGCAAAAAACAGGCCTACCAGAAGTTTGGGTAGGCCGGAATCGACCAGTTTTTGGCCTCCAAAGGGCCTCCAAAGCCTGGGGAGGCTATTTTCACACTCCAGAGGCTCAAAGAGAGCTTCCAGAGTCCAGGGAGGGCAAAAATGCCCCCACCCCTACCATGTTGCAGGAGGTTGACTAGACAACGCCCACCATGGCCACGCCCACACAGCAACCAGGCAGAAAACCTCTTGCTAAAATTTTTGAAGCCCACCCCTCTTACTCCTCCCCCAACCCCCCCCCCCAAACTGTACTATTTGGAGATTTGGTTTCAGGGCACAATCCAAATACCTTTGTTGAGTAGGTGTCATATTTATTCATTATGTAGCTGCAGTTAGTCCTTTTCAATTCTTCTATAACCTGAGAATGATTTAGAAAGGAGAAAGGAGACATAGGAGAAGGAAAAGGAAGTATTTCGTTAAAAATGTATTACATCAAACCAAAGAAAAAAACCACACCTAAAAAGGACAAATGTAGACTCAATATTGATAGATCATTATACTGTACAGATTAGAACTATGTTTATGATAAATGGGAAAAATTATTAAAGTCAGTATGGTATAATAAAACTATAGCGCTATAATGAAACTATGGCACTCCCACACATACAGCCAAAAGTATGGATCCAATATGAAGATAACAGCTTTGTTATAATAAAAAAGGAACAAGTAGAGAATGCACATGAAACAATCAACAACATATTCCAAGTGATAACATTCACATGGGGAGAAAAAACAATATGTTGCTACCCAGGGGTGAAATTCAAAATTTTTCCCTACTGGTTCTGTGGGCGTGGCAGGGGAAGGATACTGCAAAATCTCCATTCCCTCCCTACTCGTGGGGAAAGGATGTTGCAAAATCTCCATCCCCACTCCCGCTCTGGAGCCAGCCAGAGGTGGTATTTGCCGGTTCTCCGAACTACTCAAAATTTCCACTACCGGTTCTCCAGAACCTGTCAGAACCTGCTGAATTTCGCCCCTGTTGCTACCCTTCCTGGATATCCTCAACAGCACAGGAAACGATGACAAATTAGAAACCCAAGTCTATTGAAAAACAACCAATACTAAACAAGTGATCCATTATTACAGTAACAATCTAACCTCCCGTAAGAAAAGCTGTGTAAGAACACTATTTAGTTGAGCACAAACACACCGCAGCAACCTTGAACATCGGGAAAATGAACCACCTTCCAACAAAATGGATAATTGTGCAATTTTATCAAAAAGTGCCTGACCACTCAACCCACCACAGCACAACTGACATAAGCTGTGAAAAGGATAAGCTACCATACACCAATAATATCTCAGAAACAGCCAACAGACTATTACAACCACATGACATTGCAATAGCACACAAGCCAACTTGTGCTTGTGTGGCCCTCCAAAACCATCCTAAATAAAGCAAAAGATCCAGTAATCCAAGAACAAAAAACAGGTGTCATCTACAATTTACATTGTAAGGACTGTTACAGCCAATGTGTAGGACATACAATCAGGAGACTAGCAGAGCGCATCCATGAATACCAACTAGCAATCTCCTTAATCTTAAGAGACTGACTCAGTCATATTTTCAACTAGGAAACTGTGAGCATCCTAGACCAAACTAAATCCAAAAATGCTAGGGAATTCCTGGAAGACCCAGATAAGCAAGTATTGATATCAGACAAACAATCAAGCAGGAAAAAAAAATGAACTAATTAAGGAGGAAACCACAGTTTCACCAGTACTGGCAGGACACAGTACTGTATGTAAACAGGGAGCAAACCACACACTCATTAGCACTGATGATATTACCTAGTCAGGTAATGATGCAAACAAACAACCAAACTTAGAAAAGATCAAGGTTCCCACATAGCTTTTACAGGTAGTCCTTAGTTAACAATTCCACTATTTAGTGACCATTCAAACTTACGGTGAAAGTTTGAATGGTCACTAAAATGCTGAAAAAGAAGGTTTGCAATAGGTCCTTATATTGGCCACTGAATACAGGTGGGAAATCCAAACTTATTCCATTCCATTCCATATTTATGTAAACATAGTTCATTAAGATAATTTCCTTTTCAATGTATCAAACTGAAACCCATTCAGAAAATGGATTAATTTGGCAAGTGGGTTGAGAGCTGTGCAAATACCACTGATGTCTGATTGAATAACTTTATCCACATCTGGTCATCTTTTTATTTGCTGAGGCTACAAATACCAGATTGTATTGGCGTTGAGTGGCCGACCCCCTAACCTTTCTCTGTGAGTCTTGGAGATTGGTATGGCCAGCAGTTGCAGGAACATTCTGATCAGAAAAGGGAGATGAGTCTAGGAGTTGCCTTTTTAATTGCTCCCAATGGCAATTAAATATTGCTCAGGGTTTATTTAGGATGGTAGCTGGAGTTGTATTTTCAAGAGACACCTAGGGCTAATGTTAAAAATCAGATAGATGGAGTCTGATACCATCATTTCAGACTAACACATTTTATTAAAAGACATAAATCCATCAGATGCATAGAGTGGCTAGACTAGAGTTTCCCACCTTTACAACATTAAGAGGTGTAGAAATCCCAGGTGCTAAGGCCTTAGCTTCTGAATGCCATTTTTCTTAGTCCCACATTTGAAAGCTGGTTTTTAGGAATTACTCTGAAATAAAATGGTTTATTCTTAAGCAAGGATCTCTCAGAGCTTTCTTGAGCAAGATTTATTAAAAGAACGTAGTATTGATACATGCATTCTAGCAAGTATAACATTTGTTAAAATAAGAACCAATTTATTATTTTATTAGTAGTAATTTTACTTATTGTTCTGTTTATATACCACCCTTATTTTTGTACAGCTCAAGACAGTGTATTTAATGCTCACTCCTATTTTCCCACAACAACCTTGTGAAATGGGCTGGGTTGAGAGAGAGGGGTTGGCTGGGCCAAAATCAAGCAGACAGGCTATTCCTTCCTTGACTTTAGTTTATGCATTTTAAGTGAAATAAACAGCCCAGGATAATTCTTTCCTAGCAATAAACCTAGAGAAGCCAAAACAAGACCAGGTAAACTTCACCAAAGAAGAAACAATAGCCCAATCAAGGAACTATCAAGGAAGAAACACATCCCAACCATGATTGCTGGGGCTAACTACCATCTATTATCGGCCAACAAACTCCACTCTCCCCTTGCAGTGATCAGGTTTGTCTGGTAACAAAGCACCTGCAGGAAAACAATCAAGAATTCAACAGCTATCATTTTGTCAAGATGGGAATCCTCCCTGCACATTAAAAAACAGAACCTCAATCATCCCATTATGGCCTTCATTTTGGCTTTTTTGACCGTACCGTCAGGACAGCTCTGGATGATAGAGAAACAAGTTTTGGACAATGCTTTTAGTACCTTTCGTCTATGTATGCTTGAAACAAGCCATTGCATAAATTTCCTGATTAAAGATAAATTTTACGACTTATCTGAACCTTTTTGAGGGACTCTCGATATAGCTGTGAAGCAGATTTGCCTTCTTCTGAGGGCTTCACAGGATATTTGAAGACGCTGGGGTCTTTTTTCACTTCCCATACTCTCTTCCTGATGTTTTTAATAAAATACCAGGCATTCTCATTTTCCTGAAAAAATTCGTTCAACCGGAGACCAAACTTTCTGATATATTCCCGGATAATTCTGGGGAGAGGAAAGGAGAAAACAGTGAAAATAAAAATAAAAATAGAATGATGTATAGTTCTGTGCACTGAAAAGTATCCGATTATCAGGAAATTTAACATGCAAATGTGAAGGTGAAATAATTGTTCTGGCATTATTTCTGGAGTATACACTATTGAAACAGCGAAGTCTACGCTGGCTGGGGCATGTCATGAGAATGGCTGATGGTCAGATTCCGAAAGATCTCCTGTATGGAGAATTAGTGCAAGGAAAGCGCCTCAGAGGGAGACCACAGCTGCGATATAAGGATATCTGCAAGAGGGACCTAAAGCCCCTGGGAATGGACATTAACAACTGGGAAACCTTGACCTCCGATCATTCAGCTTGGAGGCTAAAGACGCAGCATGGCCTTCTCCAATTCGAAGAGACACGTGTTCTGCAGGCTGAGGCAAAGAGGCAGTCCCGGAACCAGCGAAATCTGGGGGCTGGGCAGGGGACAGAATGTATCTGCCCTCAGTGTGGAAGGGATCGTCACTCTTGAATTGGCCTTTTTAGTCACACTAGATGCTGTTTTAGGACCTCTTTCCAGAGCACGATAAATTGCTGTAGGTTCTGTTGCCAAGTTTTAAATGGGTAATGAACTACCCTTACAAATATGTGGAATTTAATGCTGGATTCCCAGAATCGAAAATAGCAATGTTGTTTCGGGACATACCTCCACGACCCTCCAGTCTTCTTAGTATGCAAAGAGAAGAGATAAGTAAACATGATCATGTCACATCTCACCTGTGTCTCTCAGGGAGACGCATGGGTCCCAGATTGACATACCAGCCTTCTATGTCATTTCGATAAGTGGTCACTCGTCCTCCCACACGTTCACTAGCTTCAAGAACCGTCACCTGGAGGCAAATAGGAAAGCCATGGCATCAATTTGACAATTGTTTCTTATTAAAACTTCTCTGCTTGGCTGCTTTGTGACTTATTTTGGGGAGATTTTCTTCATAGCGTGATAGATTTGGCTTTGAGATGTCAGTATTGTATGGCTGTTGGCACCTCTTCCCTTCCCTAAGGTTCCTTACCACAAGTTGGCATTTTTCTACGGTACCTGCCAGTGGTGGGTTTCAAATTTTTTTACTACCGGTTCTGTGGATGTGGCTTGGTGGGTGTGGCATGGCTTGATGGGCGTAGCAGGGGAAGGATACTGTAAAATCTCCATTCCCTCCCCACTCCAGGGGAAGGATACTGTAAAATCTTCATTTCTTCCTGATCAGCTGGGACTTGGGAGGCAGAGAATAGATGGGGGCAGGACCAGTCAGAATTTTTACTACCGGTTCTCCGAACTACTCAAAATTTTCGCTACCGGTTTTCCAGAACTGGTCAGAACCTGCTGAAATCCACCTCTGGTACCTGTTCTTCTCAATATTTGACATATTTCCCTTCTGACACCTAGAGACCTTTCTCACTATGTTCTTTGAGGCACCTTCCCCCAATAGAGTCCCAGCACTTCAAATAGCAGAACTGCAATGTTGAAATGTGTTATGCTTGACGATTATTGGAAGTTCTATCACATAGATTTGCTTTCCACCCTTATTTTGTGCAGGGAACATTTTGTGTGAAATAGCATTTCATCTTCAGATATCTCACTTGAATGTGTCTTAGAATCTAAGGAGATCTATTCTTTGCAATCAGGAGGACTTTTTCTTTTCTTTGTCTTCATTGTTTTAATCTATTTAAACTTTATTTAGTCACCTTTTCTTTATTTATTGAAAAGTATTCTAAACAGCATGATGACAGTTGCAGTCATTGTGCAATAGAAACTGAGTTTCGTCCTCCTGTGAAACTCATAGCCCCATATCTCTGCAGCCACAAAAATAGGTTCTATGCTAAAGCCTCAAATTCAGTCACAAGACTCTACGCTTTGTTGTGGTCAGATCACTTTCTGGTCAAAATGTATTATCCTGGATCTCTGCTAGGTAGGATGCCCTATTTGAATGGTCTATGTCCATCTCAGTGTCTAATGGATCTACAGCAGGAGTCTCCAACCTTGGCAACTTTAAGCCTGGCGGACTTCAACTCCCAGAATTCTTTGCTGGCTGGGGAATTCTGGGAGTTGAAGTCTGCCAGGCTTGAAGTTGGAGGTTGGAGACCCCTGATCTACAGGGTTTCCAGAGGATGTTTGGGGATTATCCTGACAAACAGTTGGACAGCTTGGTCTTACAACTTGTGAATTCCTAGAGATGGGAGGGCAATGGAGAAGATTGCCCCTTCACAGTCTCTCTCCAGTTTCTTAGGCCAAGCAACTCTTTCGTTTTCTAGGTTCCTACAGGAATGAAGCAACTGAAGACATTCTTAGAGCATAAATAGCACAAAAGTAAAACTAGAGATTACTAAGTGTTTTTGAACCCACACTTGAGTCACTGCCACTAAGAACAGCAACTCATTAATACTTCTTTGTGCTTATTGCATTTGGAATTTTCTGATTGATAACCCATTCAGAGTGACCTAACCCCTTATTAAAAAATGTGGTTACAACAGGGCACCTGCAATGGCACATATGAGTTTGCAGGGATTTTTGCAGATAGTTGCTTGATTTTTATTCTTGGATGCCATTTGGACAAGATCAAGGGAAGGCAGCTTTTTGCGTTATGATTTGGGATATATTTGAGCTTGTGGAACCCAAGGAAATGAACTGAGTTCTCTGTAGCATAAATTCTTCCATTTCTCAGCTAGATCCAGGACCTTCCTGGCTCTTGTAAGCAGCCAGGTAGGTATATAGGTGGCTGGATTTAGGAGGTAGTCAATGATTTATTGTGGGAAGTTATTATGCCATTGTCTTTAAATAGGGCGGTCGGTTTGAACTTCTCTCCTAAAACAACTCTCTTGACTTGGCTATGTGTGATGACTTTTGCACTGTCTACCACCTTCCCATTGTGAGGAAGGTTGTTGAAAAGGATGAAGATATTAGTTATATAGGATCCTAGAGGAAGTGGATTATCTATATCCCTTTCAGCCGAGGTCTAGACTCAGGATTGTGATAGAAACAGGCTGGTTTGCTCTAAAGTATAATTTCTGGGACCTGGGAGGGGAGAATGCAGCTCTCGTAATCCTAGTAGACCTTCCATTGGCTTTTGGTGCCATCATGTTATCCTTCTGGATTACCCAAGAGTTGGGACTAAGAGGCATCATTCTAAAGTAATTCTTCAATGGCTTACCTTATGTCCAGCCCCTGCAAGAACGTAGGCTGCACTAAGCCCAGCCATTCCTGCACCTACAACCACAACATGTTTTGGATTTGATGTCTGTTTCAGACCATTTCTGGCGATCTCTAGAAATTCTTCATAATCATCTTCTTTGAAGCATTCTTCTAGGGGGCTTCTGTCATCTGCACAGCTTCCCAAGGCAGCCAAGAATAGCACTGAGAAAATAACTGGATAAAACACATACAAAAATGGAATATGTATGAGGGTGGCATTTTCCTGGCTTTTCTTATTCTGGATTTATTGCCTCTTGCTCTGTTCATTTGTCCCATTCTTTTATGTGTGTCATTGAACCAACTTCTAACCAGAGTTCCTACACTACATCTAAATCGCAATAAAACAAGCAAAAATGGACACGCAGTCATTCCTTCCGCTTCTCTGGTCACACAAAGGATCTGATAACAAATATGTCTTCTTCAACCTTAACTCCTTAACATCTTCTTTTTTTGGCAACAGTGGGAAAGGGGTTACAACTTGAAGGGTTTTTGCTTCCCAATTTAGTCCACTATCCAAGGATTTTCTTGGTGGACTCCTATTCAAATTCTTACTTGCTTAGTTTTTTTAAGATAATCCTTTCAAGTAGCTGTTATAACACTTAAAAAGAAATTAATCTGGCCTGAAAATGCTGCTCAAATAGATGTTAGTGCTTCCCCGGATATGTTTCCATTTGTAGACAACTCCCCTGTCATCTTTTCGGGTTTTTACTAGCAGATAGAAAAGACACGAAGAAAAAAGTGTGCTTCCAAAGTCTTTTCCTTTGTCTTCAGTTATAATATTTCTTAATATATAACCCGGATTGTGGGGGCAATAAGCTGACTGTATAAAAAGAACACCGCTTGGGGGGGAGGGGGGCGAAAGCCCTACTAAACAGGTATATACAAAAGTATGAAGGCTATTGCTTAACTCATTGTAAGCCGCCCTGAGTCTCCGGAGAAGGGCGGCATATAAATTGAACCAATAAATAAATAAAAAATAAAAAATAAAAATAAATAAATAAATAAATAAATAAATAAATAAATAAATAAATAAATAAATTGGTTACAGAAAGAAAATCCATCCAGATGCCATAAGACCAGGCATTTGCCCCTGATAGGCTTCTATCTTCCTTATGGAAGAAGGAACCAGGTTAAGGAAGGTTGGCATGGATGCTACATCAGAGAAAAAGTACAATTCCAAATATATACCGGTAGATCTATGTCAGGTTTCTATCACCCAGTACCCTCAGGATGGGTTGGATGGGGTAGAATCAAGATCATGTGAAGTGTTAATACTACTTTATAATGCCTTGGTAAGACCACGCTTGGAATATTGCATCCAGTTTTAGCTGCCATGAGATAAAAAGGATATTGAGACTCTGGAAAGAGTGCAGAGAAGATCAACAAAGATGATTAGCGGACTGGAAGCCAAAACATATGAAGAACGAGAGCAGGAATTGGATATGTCTACTTTAATGAAAAGAAGGACTAGGGATGATATGATAGCAGTGTTCCAATATCTAAAAAGCTGCCATAAGGAAGAGGGGGGTCAATATATTCTCCAAAGCACCCAGAGGCAGGACAAGAAACGAAGGGTGGAAACTAATCAAGAAGAGAAGTTAGAACTAAAGTGAAATTTCCTGACAGAACAATTAATCTGTGGAACAACTTGCCTCCAAGTCATGGGTGCTCCAACACTGGAGGTTTTTAAAAAGAGTTTGGACAACCATTTGCCTTGAAATGTCATAGGGTTTCCTGCTTGAGCTGGGGGTTGGACTAGAAGACTTCCAAGGTCCCTTCCAATTCTATTATCCTGTTATATCTGTAGGTTTTCTGATTGGCTAGGTCTCATGCTGTTACGCCACTTGGACGATTTCTGATTGGCTACGTCTCATGATGTGCCATTTAGTGTATAATACTTGAAAGTTGATTTGTGGGACAGTCCTGATTCCTAGATTTCTGCAAAGATTACAGAATTCAAGACATCATTCTATTCAACGTATTTCTTGCCAAGTGGATATTTGGGTACTCTGACACTCCTCCAGCACTTTCATTCAAACTGCCTATATATTGATGCTAATTGATTTTGAACACAACTATTTTCTAGCTTTATGCTACCCTTTTTAAGGAGTGATAGTCAGAACAGTACAAGTGTGTTTCCTTCACAGATATGTCCAAAAGTATTATCATACTGTCAGTTATATTTTCAGTTCTTCTCCTAACAAATCCCATGCATTCAATTTACCTGGGCTGATATTTTCATTGAGCTGTTAATCAATATCCCTTTTCTGGTTAAACAAAGTTGGGAATATTTGTCTTAAAAATTTCCTTACACTGAACACTTACTGACATCTCTCAGAAAAGATTCAAAGGCATCTGGATTTTATGTTACCTGCAGACCACATTTATTGATTTAAAGCACTGATATGGATGGTTGTCCAACTCAGAAAGAGTTGAGACTCTGGGAGATGTACAAAAAGCATAAAACACAAAAGAAAACAGCACTCATCAAAAATTGAAACAATTAAATGTAGATTGGAACTGAAATATACTACAGGTAGTCCTTGTCAAAGTTATGATAGACAGCAAAAAAGGGACTTATGAGCTGGATTCAAAGTTCCAACATCTGCCTATTTCCATGCCCACATTCTGGGCACTCAGCAACAAACCTGCATTTAGGATCATTTGCAGTGACTGCGATTTACGGTGGTTTTTTTCCTGGAAACTGGCATTTACTTCTGGTTCCTGGAAAAACCAATGCATAGCAAACAATGAGTTTGCATAATGACAGTGGCATTTGCTTAATGGCCACTGCAAAAAAAGCTGAAAAACCACACTTTATGAATGTCACAACTTATGATGAAAATGGCCAGCTCAATTTCATTTGTAAGCTGAGGACCATCTATATAGCTCTTGGAAATTGGAAATTCTGCTCATCCAGACCCAAAGGTTTGGGGAAAGAGCCAGGTTTTCTCTGCCTTTTTGAAAGCCTGTAGGATTCTCAACCTATTGTCTGGGTGTAAAAAAGATGGCTCTGTTTCAATAAATTGTATCATTAAAGCAGCACAATTACTGATTCAGAACCTAGAACTAAGAAAAAAGTTCCTGACTATTAGAACAATTTGCCTCCAGAAGTTGTGAATGCTCCAACACTGGGAGTTTTTAAGAAGCGATTGGACAATCATTTGTCTGAAATGGTAGGGGGTTTGACTAGAAGACCTCCAAGGTCCTTTCCAACTCTGTTTATTCTATTCTATTCTATTCTATTCTATTCTATTCTATTCTATTCTATTCTATTCTATTCTATTCTATTCTATTCCATTCCATTCCATTCCATTCCATTCCATTCTAAAATAAGAGGTGCAGCTTTCTAGGACTGCTGATGGCTCCAAATGTTTTTCCAAAGCATCCCAATGTGGAATGCACATTGTTTCCTTGGACATGTTTTGTCCAAGGATTGTATCAAAGCGTTCCAAGTTAAAAAATAACTACATTCCTTCTCCATGTTTGTTTCAGTCCTGGGAATTAACCCCTCTCCTCTCCTCCATGAGATGGATGCCTTCTGCATTTAAAAAAAGCTCCCTTTATAAGTCTGAAAGTTGAATCATGACAACTGGATTTCTTTTCTTTTTGGTTTGAAGCGTTTTGCTGCTTATGCAGTTAGCTTCTTCAGTCACACACTCACTCCCTTTATAAGCAAAGTCAGATGGCATTTGGCCACAAACGCAAAGAAGGTCTTGAACTTTTTCAGAAAATTGCTTCAGGCTCCAACTGATGACCTGACTGAACTGAAATGATGACTGTTCCTTCTTGCTGCTGATGTCGAAACCCAACTGCTTTCTTAAAAGAATTTCATTAGAGGTGCCTGGAATATGCCAGACTGTTCTGTCCCCAACCCCACGCACACACACCAACAGATGTTCAGGAGTTAAAGACCAAACCAGCCGGCAAAATCCTTTTCCTTATGATAATGGAACTTGGCAACAACCTAGTGGCTGCATGCCAAGAGTTTATTATTTACAAAGAGGAGAGATAACTTCTCCCCACTTCTGATACATCAAAGGAAAGCAGCTCAATAATTACAATCAAGTCCAGAGATAATCCAGTCTTAAAGCAAAAGTCTGGCAATGCAGAATGGCGTGGAAACTTTCAGCTTTGTTCGTCACAAGGTTTGACTGGCCACCACCTCCCTTTTATACCCTGTGGGGTGTGGTCCAGTGACTCAGCCTAATCTCGGGCACGCCCTTTCTTCTGTTGCGCGCGCTTATCTCTGCAACGCTGGCATGGGTCCAGCCAAGACTCATTACTCTCATCACTGTCCATCTGTGGCTGCGAGGACGTGCTTGGCCCTGGCCCTATCTCTTGCCCTTCGGCGGACACCAAAGGCATTGCCAGAGAGGAGGGTCCTGGAGAGGGAGGCCTTGCCAACTCCTCCCCTTCACTCTCGGAGTCCTCTCCTGACGATGACACAGGCTCTGGTAACGGAGCCACAACACAGACCTGGGGAAGTTACCTAAAAGCCCTGAGGAAGATAATTTCTATAAAGGGTGGTTATGACTTCTGTTTTCTTCATTTTAGAAACTTTATAATCTGTAATTCTAAATTGCACTCCCCACCCTGTTTCCTCATGTTCTGCTGTCTAAATTCTTTTCCTGACTTTTGACTCTAATCATCACCCATGTTTGGATGCAGTGTCCCTCAACAAAGCACAGAAACATTATCAGAATGTAACTAAAAGATAAAGATTTTTGGGATTTGCAGTTATTCAGTTTCTATTAATTAAGTAGTGCTTAATTATAATTAATAGGGACATGGTGGTTCAGTGACTAAGACGCTGAGCTTGTCGATCGAAAGATCTGCAGTTCAGCGGTTTGAATCCCTAATGCCACATAACAGGGTGAGCTCCCGTTATATATCCCAGCTTCTGCCAACCTAGCAGTTCGAAAGCACGTAAAAAATGCAAGTAGAAAAATAGGGACCACGTTTGGTGGGAAGGTAACAGCGTTTCGTGCGCCTTTGCCATTTAGTCATGCCGGCCACATGACAACTTCGGACAGTGCTGGCTCTTCGGCTTTGAAACGGAGATGAGCACCGCCCCCTAGAGTCGGGAACAACTAGTACATATGTGTGAGGGGAACCTTTATCTTTACCTTTTAATTGTAATTATGTATTTATTTTATTACATAGCTTATTGTCCTTTTGTTGCATTGACTGCAAGAGTTTGCTTTTGTACAACAATTAGAATTGCCTTACTGAACAAGTTTCTACATTCATACATAAAATTTAATTAATAGAATTGGAGGGTCCAACCAGAAGAAGGCAAATTGTTATATAACAAAATAACCTTTAAAAATCCCATTTAAAACAAGACCCTAATTCAATTCAGTGTTTGAAAAGGATCTGCTGCAGGGATCACTTGATTCCAGCTTTTGGGCACAAAGGACACAGGCAAAAGGCTGAGGGTGAAGAAAAAAGAAAAGGAAAGAGAAAAGAAATTTTAAAAAAAGCAGAATTCCCACTTAAGTAGCTGTCCCTTAGAGGTAATAGCCTCCAGGCATGAAGCTTAGTGGATGTTTTAGGTTGACTTTCACTGAATAATCTACTTAACAGAATAAATCAGTTCTTCAACCTTATGAACTTTAAAATGTGTGGACTTCAACTGCCAGAATTCTCCTGCTCCCAGAATTCCAAGCTGGCTGGGGAATTCTGGGAGTTGAACACTTCTTAAAGTTGCCAAGCTTGAGAAATCCTGGAATAGATGCATGGCCAAACTGGAGGACGGATATGTCAATGGCTATGAGTGACCTCAAATGACTATGAATAAATAAAAATAAAATAAATAACATCCTTTAAACTCTATTTACCCTATTAACAGAACTGTAACACTTATGGGTGCATTAAAAGACTTCTTGTAAGACTGGTTTGATTCTTCAACATAAAACTGGAAATGTGGGAAACAGAGTCTGAAAATAGCAGGTACAACACTGTGCAGATGATTAAATGTTTTCTCTGACGATTGTTTTTCTAGCTCAGCTTGAAGCACCACTCTAAAATTTTGATTCAATTATCTGAAATGTAATTTGTGAACAGGTTGCTGAGCCGTTTTACTTTTAAGTTCTCTCTTGTTCAGTTGATACTCATCAAAGAATGGCTTTTTCATTTTTTACAGGTAGTCCTCAATTTACAACCACAACTGAGATCAGAATTGCAGTTGTCAGTTGTTGCGGTCATTAAGCGAGACGCCCATGTGACTGCTTTGCTCAACAATTGCATTCCTAAAAGTCTATGGAGATTCCCAGTCATCCAGGTCATGGTTGTCCTGAAGGTGCCTTTTCAGGAGGCAACTGGACTTTCTTGTTTTTTCTTGGAAGACATTTTGCTTCTCATCCCACAAGCTTCTTCAGCAGTCTTCCGTTCCCCACCATCCACTCTGAGCTGAAGAAGCCTCTTGGATGAGAAGCGAAACGTCTTCAAAGAGAAAACAAGAAAGTCCAGTTGCCTCCTGAAAAAGCACCTTTGGGACAATCTCATTCCTAGCCTTTGTAAGTGAGCATGCAAGGGATGCCTCAGAGGATGGGGCAGGACCTGGGAGGCCGAGCACAGACCAAGCATGAGCTGGAGAGATGCTGCAATGCAGTATATAGCATAAGCCGCCCCAGTCTGGCCTTGCAGTGCAGCGCTTTCAGTGGAAGCACTGGGCCTAGCCCTGAAGTAGAAGCCTGGAGCCTTCAGCAGTCTCAGTCAACTGCCATCATCCAGGCCTCAATCTCAGCCCTAGTGCCACCATTGCTTCTAAGGAGCGCTGCCTAATTTTACATATCCGCCTATTTTTCTCTTATCGAGGCCACCAAGCAGAGCAGTCCATGTCCTTAGGGCCTTCTGCAGTCTCAGCCTGCTGCCACTACCCAGGCCCCAACATTAGTCCTAGCACCACCATTGCCCCTCAGAAATGCCAGCTCGCATTGTTCTCCAAGGCGTCTGACCATTGGGGAATAGCGTGTTTGCCCCCATCACCCAGCGCTCCCAAGAATATGCCACACATAGTTTACCTTCAGGTGTTTTTCTCCTGCTGTTCGAGAGGCTCATGTGGCCTATCCAATGCACCAGGCCTCCTTTCCAAAGCTGCCTTGGAGCCAATTCCAACAGGGCTTTGAAAATCTTCTAAAGCATCAGATCGGCCTGCATGGGCATCTCAATAGCAGGAGCAAAGTGCCCGGAGTGTCCAGCAGATCAGAGGGCTGGGCGGTGGGGACAATCACATAATTTTCCAAAGCTCATGTGCCTTGGAGAAGGGCATTATTGCCTCTGCTTTATGCTGCCTGCCTTCAAGGGCTCAACATTTTATCACACAACGGCAGGGTTGCTGCAAAATTGTAACTCTGGGCAGAATAACAGTTGGAAGGGACCTTAGAGGTTTTCTAGTCCAACCCCCTGCTTAAGAAGGAAATCCTATAACATTTCAGACAAATGGTTGTCCAATGTCATCTTAAAAACCTCCATTGTCAGAGCACCCACAACTTCTGGCGCAAGTCATTCCACTGATTAATTATTCTAACTGTTAGGAAATTTCTCCTTAGTTTTAAGTAGTTCTAGGCAGCATGAGTCATAACTTCCTTTGACCATCACCTTCATAATTTCAAATGGTTACTGAGTAAGTGGCGGTTAAGGGAGGTCCTTTGTACCACCAAAGACTTTGTGACAAACCTAACTTACTAGTTTTTAGTATACTCTTCTCTTATTACTACAAATATTAGAAATGTATCAAGGCAAATTGACTATAACCCATCTCATTAATTTGAATTTGACCACTTGATTAAATGTCAACTGATTTTAAATGATAAAAGGTTATGAAATTTTGAAATCTAATTATGGAATAAATAATAATACACCTGTGACTTCACATTGTGTTGAACTAATCTTCTTCTTCTTCATCATCATCATCATCATCATCATGGATAAATTCACCGTCAGTCAATTGCAAAATGCAGCTTTACTTGGAACAGCTGACATCCTGTGAAAATACCTCTAATACAGGGGTGTCAAACTCGCAGCCCGTGGCTTGGATGCGTCATGTGCTGGCCCTGCTCCCACCTGATTTAGCGAAGGGGGAAAAAGTCCCGATATGTCACATGATGATGCCATGACGACGCAAGTTTGACACCCCTGCTCTAACATCATAAAACATTGGTATCTGCCTATCCCAAGTCCTTAGGAAGGACTTGATAAGTGGACAAAAATGCCAAATCCAGTCTGAACATCTGGCTGATTGTGTGATGAACCAGTAATTAAAAATGTCTAATCTAGCCTAAACATTTGCCTGACTATGCTTTGAGCCATAATTTATTAAATAATACATTCCATTCAAGCCATAATTCAGTTAGTGAGTCTTAGGAAAAAAGGTACTTACAGAAGACTTTCATCTTGTTGGCTTGGAGACTGTCAATGGCAATGCTTGGAAGAAGATTTATTGATGCTATGTAAAGTGCTCAAAACACTTTGATTCACATGTCGAGAGGATGCATTGGAGAATGCTTTTATACCCTAACCTTCTCGCCTACACTTTTATCCTCCCCTCCCATTCTAATGATACATAAAACAAGGAACAAGGAAATCAGCTCTTTTGGATTTACACCCATGAGGAACACATTAATTCGGAGAGTTACAGAATTAAGGAATTTTAGATGGTGCTTATATATCTGGACCTAAGTGTAAAATGAAAATAAGTTTCAGTTGTCATTTCACATCCTAATTCCTCTTGCAATAATCTAAATAGTTTAAAACACTTGATTGAGCAAGCTGGTTGAGGAATTCTGAGAGTTAAATGTTCACACATTTTAAAGTTGCCAAGGTTGAAAAACACTGATTACCGGAACCTTTCTAAATCTTTTTATCTTGGAGGAACCCTTATAATAAATTTCAAGTCTTACTTGAAAAACGTCTGCATAAAGATCACAAAAATATAAAAACATTGCAATATAGTTAACTTCTAACCTAGATAATACATGTTTTACACGAGCTAGCAGCTAAGTTATAGCACTTAAAAATGTCCATCAGTGTGAGCAATAGCATAGTTCAATGTGAAAAGTTAAAGAAAAAAAATCAGATTTACAGTATTCTTTTCTGTCATAATCTCTTGTAGAATCTCTGGGTCTGAGGAATCCTAGTTGAGAAAGGCTGCAGTATTAATGTCCTGTGAATTCCCTCCAAATTCCCCCTTCAATTTTCAGATTGGGATTATTCAAAAGTAAATTTAGTATATTGATAAGAGTCAGAATTATACATCTGTTCCAATACCCTCCAAATATACGTTGCAAACTTTAATATAGGAAATACAGAACAATTTCTGACGTGATGCAAGAGAGGTCATACAATATATTTCTAACTGTGTCCATAGTGGGTTTCAAACTTAATAGCTTGGATTCTTTAGAAAAATAGAGGTCATACCGGTATATATGGCCAATCAGAAAAAAATAAATGATGGAAAGATTTAAAAAATCCTGTTGTTGTATTCTAGCTATAATTAAGCTACAGAAAATTTAATGGTTTGTCATTCCATTAAATTGATGGAACGTAATGGTGGCGCAGCAGACTAAAGTGCTGTTAAGTAGCCACTTAGCTGCCAGCTGCCTGCAATTACTGCATGTTCAAATCTCACCAGGCTCACGGTTGACTCAGCCTTCCATCCTTCCGAGGTAGGTAAAATGAGGACCTGGATTGTGGGGGCAATAAGCTGACTTTGTATAAAAAAGAACACTTCTTAGGAGGGTCCGAAAGCCCTACTAAGCAGATATATACAAAAGTATGAAGGCTATTGCCTAATGCATTGTAAGCCGCCCTGAGTCTCCGGAGAAGGGTGGCATATAAATCGAACCAATAAATATAAATAAATAAATAAATTTTATAAATAAATAAATAATCAATAAATCAATATGGGGATTCCTCCAAATCTATACATCCATATATATATTAATACATATAATATATTTATTTTACAACTTTTAGTTTTTCCCAAAATCTCACTACTGTAGATTTTAACCATTTATTTATATTTAAATTTATCTGAGACAATAAAGGCAATTTAAAGCATCAAATAAACTCCAGGTTTTAGATTTGCATAAATATCTTAGAGACTACAGGAAATTTATGTGACTAATTATCTGAGTAACCTAATAATATGCAAAAGCTGTATCAATTTATTTTGGTATGGATCATTTATACTGTAACAGTGAATAAGATTTAATGTATTATTGGCACAGAGAACAATCTATGACCAGCTCAGCTTTGTTTATGCTCAGGGTGGCTTTGATACTCTGATCAGACAAAGCCAGTCAATATTCCATTAAACATAACTTAATGTTGATAAATATTGCTACATTGAACATTTGTTTATTTGTTTATACATCTCCTGCCTTTAATATTTTTAAAAATAACTCAAGTCAAAGAACATATCTCATGCTCTTTTTTTGTTGTACTTTCCCCGCAACAAAAACCCTGTGAGGTGGGTTAGTGACAGGCCCAAAGTCACCCAGCTGGCTTTCATGCCTAAGGAAGGACTAGTACTCCAGTCTTAACCATTAGACTAAACTAGCTTTCTAACATAAACATATTAAACATAAGAGATTAAGGATGTTCTCGATAAATTTCATGAGACATCTTAATTGGTGAGTAAATTATCTTGGTTGAAGGCTTAGAGGAATATGTTTGAATCCAATTAACAAAAATAGAAAGCTCTCTGTATTTTGTTCAGGAATATGCTTTGTATCTAACAAGGCCACTAATACATTCATTTTTTTTCTGAAGGAAGATCAGAATTATCAGTTTGCATTCTATCATTATTCAAAGCGGTTTCATTTTTTAAAACTAGACTGCATAGGATGGATAAACAAGGCCTTGCCAAAATGTTGGCATTTATATTTAGAAGAAAATTAGGCAGCTAAAACTTGACAGTATGATTTTTCCAAATCAGTTATTTAATGTATGTAAAGATCACACAGTCTGGCTTAGTTCTTAAATTCTGAAAACGTCAGGCTAGAAAGTGGGAAACTGGGAATCCCAATTCCACCTTAGGCACAAAGCCAGCTGGATGACTTTGGATCAGACTCTGTTTTAGCCCTAGGAAGAAGGCAATGGCAAACAATTTCTGAAAAGCCTTGCCCCATGCAAACGACTAGCTGTTTGCAAGGAATATAAATCCTTCTGTTGCCCACCACCCAGTCAGAGCTGGAGAAGCTTCTTGGATGAGAAGTGAAATGTCTTCAAAGGAAAAACAAGAGAGTCCAGTTGCCTCTTGAAAAAGCAGCTTTGCGATTTCTCCAGTAACCTTTGACTCAGTATTATTATAAAGTAAAGAATGACGAATAATGAATACCAATGCATCAGATCAGTATCATTCTACTACACATTTTTTCCCCGTGGATATTTACCAGTATTTATCACCATAGCACTGTTAAAGATGCTATCATAGGATTGCCTGGAAATTTCCCATCAAATACTCATCCTGCCTACTGCTGCTTAGTTGTTTGAAGAAAAGCCAAGATCAACTCAGTGAGTATCTAAATCATGCATCTCTCAATGCGTAACACCTTGATCATTTGCAAAAGAAGCGTTGTGTTGTGGCAATCATTCCTATGACAGTCTCTAGTCCTTTGTGTATCCTTATTATAAAATCAGGTCCAAACATGGGGTGATCCATTTAATGACTTTCACCACTTATGACCATAATTGCAGGGTTCAATTAACGTCATAATTTAAGGGCTACCTGTGCTTCCCAAATAACCTTCAGAATAACTGGAAATCAGGCAGCATATACATTTAATAAATTATGATTGTCCTTACCTGAGAAAATAGGCTATTTGGCTTTGGGAATTTTTGGTTGTTGGCTTGCAAACCAAATTTGCATTTCCCAACTAGAAAACATCATCAATTCTTTTGTTAAAAGGCCTTTCCATGGTTGCGTTCCAAATCTTACTGTGCCAGGGTGTTCCTAGAAACGTTGTGGCTGAAGCAATAGGTACTGGTTGACTTGATATCTCTCCCTCTCTTCTGCTTTCCCCCAGAACCCTGGTGGCGCAGCAGACTAAAGCACTGTTATTAACATCAGCTGCCTGCAATTACTGCAAGTTCAAATCTCACCAGGCTCAAGGTTGACTCAGCCTTCCATCCTTTCTAAGATAGGTAAAATGAGGACCCGGATTGTGGGGGTAATAAGCTGACTTTGTATAAATATACAAAAGTATGAAGGCTATTGCTTAATGCATTGTAAGCCGCCCTGAGTCTAAGAAGGGCGGGATATAAATTAAAAAAAAAACAACAGATAATAACTTCCTTCACGTTAATAGTCCAACTCCCACCTTAAGTACTTTGTCCAGTTTGGCATCATTCTTTAAGAAGGATTCAGATAATTGGAAAACATTACAAAAAGGGCAATGGGGACCATGAGGAGATTAGAAAGTAGAACTTGCTGCCCCCCAGCAAGATGCAGTCAAAAAAGTCAAGATGATGGCTGTAGTGGTGCTAGCAAGATTCTGTTCTTATATGCAGAGCTTCAGTCGCACCATTGAGGACACCATCTTGACGTTTTGACTACACCTTGCAGACATCCTTGCAGTGTATGATGAAAAAGGTTATTTGGAAGAATAAAGTTGGGAACCCTTTACAGTAAACCAAAATATGTTTCCTGAGAAGATTGGTGGTGGCTGCTTTAAAGAGAGCTGGGAAGTGCTGTGTGAACTTGACTTACGATCACAATTGAGCCCAACATTTCCATTGCTAAAGAAGACAGTTGTTAAATGAGTTTTGCCCTATTTTACAACCTGTCTTGCCATAGTTATTAAATTAATTACTGCAGTTAAGTTAATAACACGATTATTAAGTGACTCTGGCTTCCCCATTGACTGTTGCTTGTCTGAAGGTCGCAAAAGGTGATCACATGATCTCAGGACCACTGTCATAAATACATGCCAGGTGCCAAGCACCTGAATTTTGATCCCATGGCCGTGGGGATGCTGCAATGGTCCATGGGGTAGCAAAGAGTTGCACACAATGTAGTGACTGAACAACCACAAAATTTGCCTCCCTGCATATAATTTGTGTATGTATTGTTGTTGCTCAGAACAGCGTGAAAAAGGGTGTTTAGTCCCTATTTTTCCAGTGCCACTTTAACTTTGAATGGTTAATTAATAAATGGTTATAAATCATGGGCTATCTGTAATCCAGAGAACAATTTTCCTTCCAATCTGCAGCATCCCAAACTACAAGGAACTAAATCCTGGGAAGAGAGATTGGCAGAACTGCAAATATACACCTATGACACTTCACCAATCTCTGCAAGGTGGGCCAGAGCAGGTGGAGAGCTAACTCTCTTGGTCCCAGATTTCAGAACCACGGAATAATGAATTTGAAATGCAGGGAGGCAAATTTTGTTGTTATTCAGTCGCTACATTGTGCGCAGCTGTTCCCAACCCCACGGACCATAGCACAACCCTCCTCCTCCTCCCCCACGTTATGTACGCTAATGAGGAGTCAAGCCAAGGAACGTAGTCTTCACTCAGGTCCGCCTGTCCGGCGGGAAAATAAG